GACTGGTGGAGGATGCAGTGGGACCCTAAATGGTTTCAAGTTGAAATGGTTAATATGAAAGGCCACGAAGTTCGGAGAATAACCATTGTGAGGACTAACAACTACCTCGCCGCAGAGGGGTTTTCCCACGTCCCCTCTCCTGCAGAAGCTTGCAAAATCGCATTTCAAAAGCTCTTGGCTGCAAACGCAGACAAGTTCCCCGCCTTCGATCTGTGGAAGGTGACAAATGAAGCAGATCAAGAGTATTGCCCGCTACACCTAGCTGATCCAGGAGTCAACGTCTTGCCCCTGCGCATTCCTTTGCCATTACGGGGAGTCCTGGGAGTCCTAACGGTGGGCGTTCATCTCAATGTCTACAGAGTAAAGGAGGAAGGTGGCAAGGAATACATTGATCAAATCTGGGTCTCACATCGTTCCAAGGACCCCAATTACAGCTATCCTGGGATGCTGGATCAGATTGTAGCTGGAGGCTCGGATTCCAATGACACGATCGATGGGCATCTAGCTCCTTGCAAGACGTTGGCACGTGAGGCTAGAGAGGAGGCCGGGTTGACCATCGACCATTTTACCCGCCAGGTCTTTTTTGAGCAAGAAATAGGGAACGATGATGGGGACGACAAGGAAAGGAGGCGCATTCTTGTTGGGACCGTAGAGAGGGCTTCGTCCATTACGTTTTTCGACCTCAAGGACAAGAGTGCGGGTGACCTCTACAACAATCACCTCGAACCCGGTCTGCGATTCGTCTACGATCTCAAGATCACCAACCCAAGCTTTCGACCAAAAAAAATGGAGAGCGGAATCGAGAGATTTGAGCCCATGGGGGTATCTCAAGTAACGGAAAGCCTGAGCAGCAATCGATGGAAGCCTAACTGCGGACTGGTGATGCTGGACTTTATGGTACGCCATGGGCTCGTCACCAAACATAATGAGAGCCGATTCGAGCGTATCAAGAATGACCTGCACTGGCCACTGTGCTTCGCGTTCATGACGGAATTACATAGAATCACTAAAGGGTGGTAGGTTCACACAATCGAAAGAGACGGCACGGAACTCAAATTGTAGAGTAGGTGACTGAGAACAAAAGTCGAATTGTATTCACAGCGGCTGGCGATAGTTTGTGTACAGTAGCGCGACACGATCAACTATTCTTAGTGCACTTGTTGTGTCTTCTTCACCCTGTGATGTTCGCCCCCTCAGACGGTCGATTCCTCCGCGAGTCGCGGAAAATCAGCGAAGCCGTGTACCTCGAGCTCTTTGCCTTGGATATTGACGGGAGGCGCAGGTAAAAGGGTGAAACAGATGCGACAAACTTCAGTTCCAGTGTTCTTCCAAGCGTGATTAGTTCCCCTCTGGATGATAATGTCACCTCTGCGGAAGGTCTTTGTGGCCCCATTGTCGAGGATACAGTCTATCTCGCCCTCAACGACAATGCCATAGTCAACACTGGCAGTCCGATGCATGATAGCGGGGAAGCCAGGCCAGAAGTCGACAACTCGGAGGGCAGAGCCAGAAGCTGGAGCAATATCCTTCTCAGTGGGGTTTTCTCTGTATGACCTGAGGTCGTTGTCACCTGTCAGAGTGTTGGTACCGTCCTCGTTCACGTAAGAGACGTGAGTCGTGAAGCCGCCGCCGCGGTTCCCCTGAACTTGGGCAGGGATGGTTTCATCCCAGATGGCGTTTCCGTTGGCATCATGGGTGGTGATGAATCTCTTGATGGGAGGGAGGGGTTTGGCTTCAGAAGACATCTTGACCACAAGTTTGTTGTTGAGTTGCAACTGTGTTGGTTGTGTTGGCGTTTTGAGTGGTGTTTGAGAACTTGAGTCTTTTGCTTGCTCGGTTGATGATGATAATTATCTAAATAGCAAGAGAAACACTTGTTTCTTTATAATCTGACCTGGTTCCATGATGAATATTGCACTTCTAAGCAAATGACATGAGACGGTATGTTCCTTGAGAGATATGATCCTGTACGGTTAGCTTCTACATGTGAATTAGCCAATCAGGCTTCATCTTTGTCACTCTCTTAATAGATTCCTGTTACAAAGCACGGGTCAGTGTTGCACAAGTCGGTCTCATCTTGAAGCTTTGAAATCTCGCTGCTCCGTGGAGTTTCTATCAAGTGTTGGTGTTGGGACAACATTGGTAAGCACCCAGATCCTTCAATAGGGGTTTACCGTATGGTTGCCGTTTCGGCTGGGTCATCTCCACAACCAACCTCTCACTCCACAAGGCAAAATTGTGTCGATAAGGGTCTTCATCCCGACTCCGCTAGCTATCCGATCGTTTTCGCTTTGTCATGCGGAGACTCCATAGAAACATTACATGACAGAGCATGGAGTTGGAGGTGAAAAAGAAGATGTTTTACAATTCAGCTTACAGGACTTTGCAAGTAAGATTCGATAGTACCGTTACAGTATTGTCTTCTGAGTGTAATTTAGCTGAAGTTCTGCCATTGACAACTATTAACAGGGCGTTCTCTGGCTGCCAAAGACATCCAATGTGTGCACTAGCCTGGAAATTAGCTTCGTATAGTCTCCCCGTGGCTATGTTTCGTGGTAAACCAATAAATTCAAGGCTGAGATACAACGGCCAACTAGAGAACGAGGAGATGAATACCGAAGACCAACCATCGTGTGTTAGGCCGTGACTATTCATTAACGTTCTATTTCTAGCCCATGATGAGTTTATGATGCACAGCGAACACTTTAGGGTAATTTGTGATGCGGCGGTCAATTGTTCCCAATGCAATGGCTAATTCCGCGAGTTTTCATCTGGCGGTAATAGGTTCCGCCCCGACAAATATTTCATCGTTCTCACAGTTAATCTTGCCCTCATTCAAGCATCGTCTCATAAGATTAGTAAATCCTAGCTGCATCACCGTTTCCCCAAGCCTTGCACGCTATGCTGTGCAAGGCTAGTCGGTAAGACGATAACGCCCTCAGAGGATTAGTTCCTGTTCCTATGAGCTACCAAAGATTTCCCCCCTGTTGGCCTCCGCGCGCCCTACAACGAGTTGACGAAGAGCAAGCAGCCATAAATAAGCTGAAATGAGACCCGACGTTGTCGTCGAGCGTCAGATTTTAGTGACTGCCCATCTATGGAGACCAAGCGGTATTGGGCTTTTATGGCAATTGCTTTTGGGACTGGAGCAATCTGCCACTCACCGGGAGGCTTGCTACCCATGGTTAACCCATGCAACAGGGTCTCAGAAGCCCACACTGCTCGGCACGGGGCTCTTCAACCACTCTCTTGGCGGTGAATCGAATGCAACCTTGGGGCACATATCGGATAGACCACTGTCTGTTAAGTTGGAAGCACAATTGTTAAGAATCGAGGCCGGAGAAGACAATACCCAAAGTGTCTAGGTCATATGCTGCGATTAAGCTCAGCATAGCCAATCTTTGGCTCCATCTATCAAGCTTAACTCAACACCCTTGGTGCTGTGGTATTGGGGAGCCACATGCTATTCTGGGCCTTCTGTGCGAGGACCACTCACGAGCGAAGCGCGCATACTCGCATACCCAGTTCGGCAATTTGCGTCAAAAGCCAGGCAAATAAACGGAAATCACGGGAGACCACGTCTAATTCCGCCAGCCAATGAATGGCTAGAGGTGAACGCTTGATACTTAGTGCGCTGTAAGCCGTTGCCCTGTTGCTGCTAGTTGGGTTCTCAAGGTACCTCTGTCGTACAGCGCAGGTACTTTTCACTTTTCACGGCTATCACTCATATGGGGAAAAGACAATGTTAGTATTGGTCTGATTGTTTCTATCTTTGACTGCAGGGGAACCGCATCATCGGCACGAAATCATCATGACTGCGGATGCGGAGGTGACGATGTCAATTGAATTCATATGCGCTGGTTGATCCTGGCTCAAAACGGACTGACCCTTAACACAGTCGGCCGGTCTCCTGCATGTGCATATAATAGTCCGTCTTGTCTATTCTGTGTTGAGATGCCCATATGCAGCTGTGAGGCGAGCCCGTGAACACAGCGGCCACATGCTTGAGGCGAAGCCAACCTGAACAACGCAACACAACGCGAAGGCATACTGGATAGAGGAATTCAGACGACGGAATGATCAAATGACGGTGTCACTTATATTCCAGTTGTGACTGTGCGTGACTTACAGAAGCGAATCGAGACCGATCTAGCGCCAAACTGTCGGTCAAACCACTGTGCCTCTCGTTGCTAAAGCCTTCGAGCCAGGCGGACAGAGGTGATTACGTGACCTGACACTAGAGACTTCAAGCATATTCTATATATGTCTTTACATATCTCCTTTGATAGAAACACAGAAGGACCACAGATTTCACAAATCATGGCATGGAACTCTCACCAAACTTGATGGCCCAATCGTATACGGTGAGTCTTCCGTCTCGCGTCGAACAACCTACCTAGCTAGTATCCACCTGTCTGCTGGTCATGTCTTCAACAACCTGGTAGACTGTTGTTGGTTCTGTCTTCAACTTTGAGGTGCTGCACGGCGAGTATTTCCTCTCTACTCCATACGCCTACTCCACATCCAGACATAGTATTTGCTCGTGTGTCGTCTCTGTCTCCCACATCCCAGCAGAACGATCCATAACCACCTCTTTTCGTAGTAGTATAATGCTGTTGGTTCTGTTATCACATCCAGACCTGCCTTGTAAACGCGCAGAAGTTCACTGATTTAACCTCATCGAGTAGTCAGTCGCATGATGTTGTTGGTTCTGTCTTCAACAACCTGGTAGAGCGCCTGTGTTTCTCTCTTCAGCTATCCTCTTTCTTAGTAGCATCATGCTGTTGGTCCGTCTTCAACGTTCATGAGATTCCTGTTCAGAAATAACCGTATTTATCCCTGCAAGAGAACCACCTTGCGTGTAAGTCAAGAGGTAGAGAAACAAGTATAAAAGAGAGATGATTCCCAAGTGAAGGATATCTATCATCCTCAACACATTCTCACTCAGATATCTCATCTCATCTCCTGTTACTGTCAAACACCAAACAAATCTCTTCAATATGAAATTCAGTACTACCTTCGCCAGCCTCGTGGCTTACTGTGCCATTGGCGTTCACGCAATGCCATCCAACCCAGAGGCAGCATCTGAGCTCACCAGCCGCAACGAAAACCCCCTTGAGAAGCGAGCCTGCTACAACGGAAAAAAGGAATACGGCTGTGACAAAGGATATTGCTGGAAGAAGTGCGGCGGCGGGAATGGAAACGTAAACAATAGTGGCCCGTGGTGCTGGGCCAAATGGAACTGGGGATGGGGTGATGGTAACTGGGTTTCTTGTCACTATGATAGTGACTGCAAGAAGGCCTTTGCTGGTGAAGCTGCCTGTGCCCAGGGTAACTGTGAAGGTTGTGGATGTAGTTGTTAAGTTGGAATGGGAAGTTGTTTGGTATGAGCTTATGAGAAACACGGGATTAGGTAATAAACACGCGGAGCTTGAGAAGCTTCATCAATTGAATTTCCACGTGATAGTCACAACGGATGTCAGTGACTACTAACTGTACTTCTTCTAGGTACTACTCGCTGCTGGCCGATGTCGGGTTACATAAGCTTCACTAGGTGAGAGAGACTGAGCCTCCTCTTTTACCATGAAAGTTGGGTTGTTTCTTGAGCTGGGGGCTGAGCTTCGAAAGGCTGAACAAATACTAACACTCTTGCAAGTTGCAACCCCATTCCACCATCCACCAAGCTTTCAATTCGAACAGGGGTCAGTTCAGCTCGATGCACTAAAGATCCCTCACACCAATGATCGCCTACCAGCAACGCCACTGGGCGCAGGGATCTTACTAGAGTGAGCAGGGGCTGTGATTTTGGAGCACTCAGAAGACAGAAAAAGTCCCTGGGCTGTGGCCATTGATCTCGTCTAGTCCCATAAAGGCCCCCCCTGTCGTAGGTACCCCGACACCACATTGCATCTATGTACTTGGACGGTGCGCCCAATGTACCTCACAGACGGCGTGTCGATGGCCTGCAAGTCTTTGTCGGGGCCGAATTGCACCTTTTGGCCCCAAATAGGACAGGCGGACGAGAGACAAAACCCCCATTGACCCCTGCCTCACTGCACTTTTCCTCTTTGTCAAATACATATCGTCGCTGTGCTGCGAGTTGGTTACTGCTCCAACACGGCTGAATTGCTTCGTATCGCGGGGCCCAAACTCACTTACACCACAAGATATACTGTAGCTACGAAGCGAAACGAACCTCCTCTCGCCCCTAGGTCAGCAGAAATCAGGCAGTCAAGTAAAGACCTCGAAAGAGAAATCGAATTCCTAAACGCATCAGAAGATCGACCGAGTACTGAATCGAAGTACAACAGCACTGAAGCGCAATGCATCGCTCTGCTACCCTCCTTGCTCTAGGAGCACTTAGCCCAACCGCTACCGCCGCTTGGTTGAAGTCGAACCAAGAGAGATCATGGGAACCTCCTCGACAGACTGGAGTCCTTGGAGAGGAAGCTGAACTGGGTCAGGTTGCCATGGGATGGTCACCAGTACCAACCGGTGCCCCCAGACTTGCCGGTGCCATGGACATGGGCTTTGCCTTGGGAAAACGGGCTGAGACAGACAATACCTGTGGCTACGATACAGTAGGAAGTGAGTCGATACCTGAGCGTGCTTCTTCCGTGAAGCCGCAGAGATAGCCCTGTACAGACGAGACCAAGGGCTCGATTTCCAAGTGCTGTAAACTAACATGACTTGCAACAGACTCCTTTACGTGTACAAACACCTTATCCGCCACTTGCACCCTGTCCGATGGTTATGTTGGCTGCTGCGATACTGCGAGATCTTGCAACTCGGTCAAGACAACTTGCATCCCCTACTCGCGATCTCGTGACGAATGCACATCCTTTTCAGACCTTCATACTCTCTGCTGGTACGTGCCTATGATTCAATCAAGAAATGTAATGTCAATTGATTTGTTGCTAACCTGATATTAGTGGTCTGCGTGATCGTCCCAATTGCTTTGAGTGGGTTGCGACCACAGGTGCTGACGAGTTCACATTGTTCGACTGCGCTGCCGGCAACGGCACTTCTGTCCTCCTTTTGTCTGACCCTTTGGCTCTGTCTTCGACCTCAGGCGATGATTCATCCACTACTGATAACCCCTCTACGACCACCGACGACGGATCGTCCACAACGACCAGCGCTGCAGCAACCTCCACGAGTACTGATAATGGCGGTGGCGGTAGCAGTACCAACGTTGGCGCCATTGTTGGCGGTGTTGTCGGTGGTGTCGCTGCTCTCGCTCTCGTTGGCCTCGCTGGTTTCCTTCTTTTCCGCCGTCGCAACAAGACAACTCCTGCTGCTGCTGCTACTCCCGGCGATGGTACACAAAACCAACCTCCCATGGCCCAAGGACCCCAGAGTCCAGGACCCAGCTTCGTTCCTTCATCACCTTCCAACGCCGCATACCCCTCCGGAGTGCCCTCAAACTACCAAGGTGGCTACCAGCAGGCATACGACCCTTCTTTGGCGGCTCCCTACGGTCAACCCCAAGGATACCAACAGCCTGGATACAGCGGCTACTCTCCTCAACCCCAGAACTTCCAGGGTCAGTACCCCCAGCAAACCCAGTATCCTTCTCAGTATGGCGTCGGCGGCTACGGAGCTCCATCCGCATCACCTCCTCCTCATTTTACACCCAGCCCGGGTCCCAACAAGGACGGCCCCGAGGGCGCCCCTCAACAGCATGTTCAGGAACTACCTGCTGTTCAACCTTTAGGAAATGAGGGCAACCGAGCTGAGTTGAGCTAGATGTGTCGTTAATGGTTTCATGGGAGTAACGGGAGTTTCATTCTGGATGACGGAGGATTCATAAAGATAGCAGGTTTTTTGCAAAGACAAGTGAGATTTCACACTTGAAGGGATTTGCATGATTATTTGATTGCATGAGTTTATATATTTCTGTTCTCAGAACGAACCTAATGGTTTATTAGTTGACGAATTTAAAAACATGAGAATTCCTAGGTCAAACTTGCTCAATTGGCGAATTGTAATGAAGTGAATATGCTAATCATTATACCATTCTCACCATTGGTTACCATTACTTCATGAATCCACTGCAAAGCTGGCATCTTACGCATGACCGTTCGTTTCCATCTGCTTTCCAACTGCCTTGTTCCACCATTCTTCCCAGTCAAGAACCTTACGACCAAGTCTCGCCTCCTCAGCTGCAAAGACCATAGCATGGCTTCGCAGCACCTCATCAAGAGTACATCCAATAAACTCATCTTGAGCACGAGGAGCCTCCCAGCCATGGTTCTTGACACGATCACATGCCATGACAAACTGGCGTGTCAGACCCAAGTCTCCACCACCATGGCCAAGATCTTCAACACGAGGATGATATGTCTTCACCTCGCCTGTGTTGAAGTCCTCAACAACGATGCGTCGTGAATTGGCGTGGACCTCACCATGTTCGCCGTAAAAGTTGGAGTAACGTTCGCAGATCTTGGTTGTCTGAGCGACCATATGCAGAGTAGCCGTCTTTGCAGGCTTGGTGGACTCAGGCCAGGTGATGGTGACGAACTGGTCGTCGCAGACGTTATTGTCAGCTTCAAAGACACAACGGCCGAACCAGTTGCGGGATTGGATCTCCGACTTTGGTGTAGACTCGTCGTAGTCTTCCTCCAGAGCCTTTATCAACATGTCTTCCTTCTTCTGCTGAGAGGGATAGTCTTCAATGTCATGGACGACAATACTGACTGGCCATCTTGTGTTACCGGCCTGCAAGCCCTTGAGTTTGGGGCCGAGGTAAATGTTCTTTGCAGAGAATTTGCAACCTTCGTCTCCGAGGGGGCATTTCATGCAGTTTGTTGCCGATCCTGCAGCCTTGGGCTTACGACTTTTCTTGAAGAGATGAAGGTCCCCAACAGATGAGACCGTTTCAGGGAGATGCGGCTCTCCCTGTCCTGCTTTCTCAGGGGAGCAGAGCAACCAGAGCAACAAATCGATATCGTGGCAGCTCTTAGTCAACAAGGATGGGGCAGTGGTATTCTCATTGCGCCAGTTTCCCCTGACATATGAGTGCGTGAAGTGCCACCAACCTATTCGTATCTTTAGTCAGTTACAGATCAAGCATCGGCTTGTATTGTCAAGGAGGGATCTCTGATTTTCGTGCAATGTTTACTGACCTACGGGCTCTGTATGTACGGCGCTCGAAATTTCGCCGATGACACGCTCCTCAATGAGAAGCTTGCGAAGCATAATGTTGTGTGGGCTGTATCGCAGCACATGGCCGATCGAGAAGATCTTGGTGGATTGGGAGGGACGCATGGCCTTGTACATGTCGATGCAATCTTGAAGGGAACACGCAAGAGGCTTCTCACACATGATGTGTAGCTCAAGTGGTGCGAGACCGACGACAACCTCACGGTGCATTTCGTCGAGAACGCAAACAAAGACTCCATCAACACCCTCCGGCACATTCTCTTCACACGCAGCAGCTCGTCTTCGACGATCCCGCTCATACTCAAAGAATTCTCGCCAGTCATGGAAAGACTGGCCTTCTCCAGGGGAACCGTCACCCCAGATGTGAGCTCGGCCGAGGGACTCACGCTTGAACTTCAGGGGTTCAGCAACGGCGGCGACAACGCCATTAGATACGCCGTCAATTGCAGCTGCGTAGTTTTGCCCTCGTGATCCAGCACCGATGATGAGGAAGCGTGGTGGTGTCACTGACATTTCAGGCTTGGGAGGGGGTTTGGAGACAAGAGTCTCTGGCTGTGATTCGGCATCTCCATCTTGAGCGGTTGTAAGCTTTGTTAAGAGGTTCTTCAGTTGAGACATGCTAAGAAATAAATACTCTGGAATCAAATGGTGAAAATTTGTAAGTACGAATGGTTGTTTATATGTGTTCAAGGGTGGTAAAGTCAAGTATCTGCCTTGAGGGGAATCAAATGAAGAATCAAGACACCCGATACAATTCGCAGATGCCTCGCAGGCAACACAATTGGAGGGAACTATTGTCGCACAGAAAAACTCTCTGATGAATAATCAAACAAAAAGAACTATGATGCTGTAATACGTATTCTCAGTTGAGGCTGAAAGTCGTCTCTTTGTGGAATTGTTTTCGTATATCGTGTGGTTGAACTTGACAATAACGGCCAATGAGGTAGAGCTCATTAATACACGCAACGTTCCAGCGCATTGATTAACTGTAGGTATGCACTAACTGGAAGTTTAACGGGCTCTGAATGGATCAACCCCACTACTCGAGTACTGATCTCTCATGAGAAAAGCCAGATTCAAACATCAACGTTACATTGCAACCACCCAAAACTCACAACGATGTCGGCAGTAGCAGAAGTACAGGCTGATAATCAGCCTAAGAGCGCCAGCGATGATCCTCTTGTCTGGATTGACTGCGAGGTATGTGCTGTTACGTGGTACAAGGAGCTTCAATTCACATCATCGACAGATGACTGGACTGGATCAAGATAACGACGAAATCATCGAGATCTACTGTATTATCACCACAGGAAACCTCGAGATCCTCGATGAGGAGGGGTTCCACGCCATCATCCACTTCCCTCAGTCCCGTCTTGACCAGATGGACGAATGGTGCACAAAGACACACGCAGACTCTGGCCTCACCGCTGCTGTTCTCGAATCCACAACTACTCCGGAGCAAGCCGCAGACGCTCTGTATGAGTACATAACACGCTTCATCCCTGAGCGCAAACGTGGTCTTCTTGCGGGCAACAGCGTGCATTGCGATAGGGCGTTTCTGCGACGTGAACCCTACAAGCGGGTCATGAGACATCTGCATCACAGAATTCTTGACGTGAGCTCTATCAAGGAGGCTGCAAGACGCTGGGCAGCCAAGAGGATTGTGAATAAGGTTCCCAATAAGAAGGGTCTGCACAAGGCGAGGGATGATATTCTGGAGAGCATTGAGGAGGCTAGATACTATAGGGAGGTTATCTTCAGGCCGACGTTTGATGTTCTGCCTGCTAAGAACAAACCCAACAAGGGAAAATGATGGCTTAATCATAGCCTTTCATAAGAAAGGTGGGTTGTCGATTGGCCAATGCAGGTCCTCATGTCGATGTGACTTTTTAAGGTGTCATGATTGAGCTCCTGAGCCATGCAAGCTCTCTTCCATAATATGACGAGAGCAATACTCGAGGTCATGTCTGACAGCTCAAAATACTCTTTTAGAATGTTTCTGGCAACGCTTTGGGTACCTAATGGGGCACCAGTTACTCATTTACAGGTTTTTGTCTTGGTTCTTATCGTTAAACCGTAGCCATATTATGTTCTCTGAGTTTCCATCATCATGGGGACCAGTCTTATATTTACGTGAGAATGCTGTCTCCAACGAAACAAAGCACACTGTAACGGACTGTGTTCCTACACCTGACTATGCCAGCATATACAGTGCTAATTGTGTGACCCCTCCATTAGCTTGAGTGATATCATCTCATCGAACCCCACCACAGAGCTCCCTCAAGCTCCCCTCTTTTTGTCTCAGTCGCCTACCGCTATCTTCTGATTCCTTCTCCTCTTCGTCTCCTCCTCAACAATTCTCCTCGACACTGTAACTTCTTATCTATCTTCTCTTCCCTACAGCTTGATTCATTGACACACCACTGGTATCAAGCAATCATGGGCGTCCAAACCGTTGAGTTTAAGCCCTTCCAGGACCAGAAGCCCGGAACGTATGTCTAGACCTTGATGATCCTCCCTGTTGTGTTCCCCCACTGCTCGGGAGCTGCCGAGGAGGAATTGCTTATTCCTCTTTGACTTCAACCTCAAAGTTTCAGCGTTATCAGTTTTGTCAATTGATAGAAGCTCAACTAACTTATGTCGATAGCTCCGGTCTTCGCAAAAAGGTCACCGTCTTTCAGCAGCCTCACTACAGCGAGGCCTTCATCACCAGCATTCTGCTTTCTATTCCCGAAGGCGTTGAGGGTATGATGTCAATTGCTTTGCAACACGAGCCATGATCTGATCAATTGATAGGCTCTTTTCTTGTTATCGGTGGCGACGGCCGATACTGGAACCCCGAGGTTATCCAGCTTATTGCCAAGATTGGTGCCGCCTACGGTGTCAAGAAGCTCGTCATCGGCCAGAACGGCATTCTTTCTACCCCTGCTGCCAGTCATGTCATCCGCCTGCGCAAGGCCACTGGAGGTATCCTCCTGACTGCTAGCCACAACCCTGGCGGTGAGTTACTCTCAATCTGCTTCTCCTGAACCAATATCTAACAACCAATAGGTCCCAAGAACGACTTTGGTATCAAGTACAACCTCGCCAATGGTGGCCCCGCTCCCGAATCCGTTACCAACAAGATCTTCGAGTTCTCCAAGACTTTGACTTCATACAAGATTGCCGATATTCCCGATGTCGACATCTCCACCGTTGGTACTCAGACCTATGGTGACCTCGAGGTCGAGATTATCGACAGCACCACCGACTATGTTGCTATGCTCAAGGATATCTTCGACTTTGACCTGATCAAGAAGTTCTTCTCCACACACCCCGACTTCAAGGTCCTATTCGATGGTCTCCACGGTGTCACCGGCCCCTACGGAAAGGCTATCTTCGAGCAGGAGCTTGGTTTGAGCAATGCCATCCAGAACTGTGTCCCCAGCCCCGACTTCAACGGTGGCCACCCCGATCCTAACCTCACATACGCTCACTCTCTGGTCGAGGTTGTTGATAAGAACAACATTCCTTTCGGTGCCGCTTCCGATGGTGACGGTGACCGAAACATGATCTATGGCGCCAACGCCTTCGTTTCTCCTGGTGATTCCCTGGCCATCATCGCTCACCACGCCAACCTGATCCCCTACTTCAAGAAGAACGGCGTCAACGGTCTCGCTCGCTCCATGCCAACCAGTGGTGCTGTTGACCTCGTCGCCAAGGCTCAGGGACTCGACTGCTACGAGGTGCCCACCGGCTGGAAGTTCTTCTGCGCTCTCTTCGACGCCAAGAAGCTGTCCATCTGCGGTGAGGAGAGTTTCGGTACTGGCAGTGATCACATTCGTGAGAAGGATGGTCTATGGGCTGTTATTGCTTGGCTCAACATCATCGCCGGTGTCGGTGTCCAAAACCCTAGCGTCACCCCATCAATTAAGGAGATACAGAAGGAATTCTGGGGCAAGTACGGACGTACTTTCTTCACCCGCTACGACTATGAGGATGTCGATTCAGAGGGCGCCAACAAGGTTGTTGGTGAGCTAGAGAAGCTTGTCAACGACTCTAACTTTGTCGGCAGCACCATTGAGGGTGAGTGATTTCGTAATCTCGGCTGACAATCTATGCTAACTTATTCCAGGTCGCAAGGTTACAAAGGCTGGCAACTTCTCTTATACCGATCTCGACGGTTCTGTCGCTTCCAAGCAGGGCTTATATGCCGGCTTCTCTTCCGGTAGCCGAATTGTTGTTCGACTCTCCGGCACTGGTTCATCTGGAGCCACCATTCGCTTGTACATTGAGCAGCACACCGACGATCCCTCCAAGTACGAACTTGACGCTCAAGATTTCCTCAAGGAGGAGGTCAAGTTTGCCACTGAGCTTCTCAAGTTTAAGGAGCACGTCGGCCGTGACGAGCCTGATGTCAAGACCTAAACGAGATACGTCATTACGGGTGTTGGAATGGGTAAACATAAGAGGTGGATGCAAACACAAGATAATTTTGAGTTTCTGAAATTGTTATCGCGTACAATGCTGACAAACTAAGCGTTCATGATACTACTAACTAAACAACTGGAAAACTGTGGATGTGTGCTGAGGAATAAGGGCACAATAGTATGAGTTAATGCCACGGCATAAAAACATTCTTGACATCGTTGAATGGAAACGTGAATAAGGCCTGAACACTCGTAAGTGGTTGTGATGTATCGTACAATCTGTGGCCCTCGACTTCAACTTTATTATTCAAAATAGGGAATTCGTAAATCGTAAATCGTCAAACCGTTATTTCTCTCGTGGGACGCCGTCGCTAGAAAAACATGAATCAAGGTGAAAGGCTACATGTAATGGAACAAAGGAGGAGCATAACAAATCACGCGAGAAATTATGAGTGTCGAGTTTGTGTCGTACAGCGGAAGCACTGTTGTCGACCTAAGTCTGTGTCGACTCTGTGGCGGTGCTCTCGTCGAGGAGCGCAGGAGAGAAGAGCTCTTTAAAACGCTTGGTCGCTGAATAGGTAGTGTTAGATTGTGTATCATTACGAGGTAGGGTAACGAACCTTCTTCACTCACGAACCGGATTTCGAAGGCTCCTGCGCGGTTGATTCGTTGGTTTTGCTGCCGGTATTCCTGGCAAAAGACGTAGAGTTGAATGTCAGCAAGGCGAACTCTGGTCTTGCTGACTCTCTTTATCCATTTCGGGGAGGCTGACTGATGTGTGACTGGGAGACACTCGTTAGTTCATTGCCTATAAGACAAGTCAGGAGTTGAAGCTGGCTTACTGAAAGCTGTCCAGACAGGACACTGGCGTAGATCACCGTCCCAGACTGCAGCGTGGAGGCGAATACCCTTTGTCATGTAGTCCTCATATACAATAAGAGAATGCATGAAACCATCGTCCACGATTCGACTGCTACTATCAGTTTGGCTGTGTGGGGGAGAATCAGGGGCAATGCTTACGCTTGGAACAGTTTGCGTTCGCCCCAAAGAGTGAGATCTTCATTTGCAACCTGTACTGTGAGACTATTGCGAGTCTTGAAAGACAAAAAGCAGCAGTACAAGAGCACCAATTCTAGAACGTTAGCGACTGAATTTTACGTACCTATTTGCTAGTAACAACTTACCTTCCCATGTCATGAAGCAAAGATTGGCCCACATCTTGGGGCACTGTTCACTGGAACTCCATCGCCAGAACTGAAGACTGCTCCCATTGCGTTCGACACATAGTTCATGTGCACCACGAAGCGAAAACCATGGAGTTCCCATGTGGAACGTTCGCAAGAGAAAATATGGACATCTGTCTCGACCACTCTGATATACTATCAGGGTTATCTGGCGCTCATTGAAAGAACTAGTATCGTTAGTAGGACGCTTGTGTATCATCGATACCCTGAACCTACCGAATAAAAAGGATTCTTGCATCACTTGGCATGCGAACTTGACTCCAGGGAGCGTGTGGGCCATATGCCTTGGACCTGGTTATCTTGTTAAGAAGCGGCCTCATTGATCATTTGCATGGTAGACTTACGACTGCTGATGCTTAAGCGGAGTCCGGGAGGGAAGGGGCAAAGAGAATATTTTCTCGGCCCAATGAATATTCTATGACCATAGTCAGAGGTGATTAGATTTATCTTTTGGCAATTATGTACTAACAGAGGCGATGCTCGAATCGTCATCTAGCACGGAATCAGGACGGATCGTTGAATTAAGGCGAATAGGGGGGGGAGCTTTTTATGTTAGCGTTGACGTGGTATGGCCAGCCTTCTACTTACGAATGCCTCTGGCTTCCCTGAGTTGCATTAACTGTAATCGAGTGCATTCCATAGTGTTGAAGTCAAAGTTAGGCGATCTCAGCAACGGTGAGTTATGGACTCTTACGGGTGTAGATGGGTATCGGCAACTAACCTTAATAGTAACTCCCGTAACAGGGACAGAAAACGATTGTAAAGAATAAACCGCTGAGGCAATGAAAGGCCCCCAGCTTCTTGGGTCATCGAGTGATACATCTTCCGCCAACGATTCTCTTTGGTAAGAGTCCTATCTTCGTAATAGGTCGTGATATCTCGCAGGGATCTTGATAGGCAAGGGAGAAGGATTTCGAGATAGTCGAGCACGACTGGAACTCGAGAGAAATGGACTTTGGAGTACTCGGCTAGTTCGCGGAGCAGTTGTCCCGAGATGCTAATTTCTTCCATCGTCATCAACAAATGGGTATGGGTGCCCTCGCCCAAGGCATTGCGAAGGCCCAAGAGTTGAACTGCAACACGGTCTGCCCTTTCTGCCTCCAAGCAACAACCTTGGAGCAGGTGTAGCTCAAGTTGGCCACCCAGAACCATCTCCATTACGAGAGGCAAAAGGCGTATTGGAGGAGGGTGTCTATTTCATCACATAACGAGATGGGCCACTGTTGATTTGATTTCCTTTCTAGGTTGACTCTATCCGCGTGATACCCTTGGCATTCGCTGTGATTATAGAATTAGACGATCGAGGCTACTGTATGCGGTGAGGGACTAGGAGGAGATGAATAATGGCGGGGTATTGATCGAGAATCTTCAGAATGGGTTGATAGTAGATAGATGATGTAGATAACCGACGTTGATGATCAATTATGATAGAGTAAATTAGACGAGAAACCAAGAATAGATTCAAGAATTGAGACAGGATATCTGGTTAATAATAGAAGAGGAGGGGACGGCCGATCTGCAGGCCGTCAATAACGTGTGATCCGATCCGCGCAACTCGTTCAACACCATGAAGAGGTGCACCCGCACCAGTCTAACCATACATAATGCCTTCCCTGACGTGGTTGGTGCACGGTTCTCACACTGAGCCTTGAGTGAGCCCATCAGGTCGATGCACGTAATGACGGGGAGGCTCTCGAGGGTGTCGTTCTGCCCTTGACTCAGCTAAGGCCACAACGCCCGGGGCCTTGGACCACCTGATAGTCAGATGCCGCCCGCATTCTCCGAACTCTGCAGCGGCATATCAATCAACTTGGGTTTCATCGAGACAGATACACCAACGAGAGGAAACCAATGTGTTGACGAACGAGGCATTGGGTGTGTGTATGGCAGCTCGACATTTGCACTCCGGCCTGAGCCAACTTCTCAGGTGCTGCCACGATAGCAAGCGTGCTTCAACATGACGCCAGGCCAATGCATGAGGAGATTCGGGGCAACAATTGAGCTAGATTAGGATTGGGTGGGCACTCGCACCATTGACCAGTCCAGCCAAGATGACCATTCCTAGAGGAGGAGAGCCAGAGCAACTGAGGTCAACTGAACTGAACTATCCACTGACAGTCCAGGTGCGACGTGTTGCTACGACGGCGACTCTTGACATGCGTCCGCGGGATGTGGACTTTTGTGTGGAGAAATCTGATGATGCTGGGAATAGAGAAAATGAAGAAGGGCCTTCGAAGCGCTTGAAACGGTGGTTGTGCTGGGGTACAGGTCCCTTTTTGACTTGGTCTGGCCTAGCATGACCTCGTGCTCATCCAACATTGCTAGGTACTCCACTTCAACGGCCATGGGGGATCCCGGTGATGAGGCTCGGCGGGTTCAGGATAAGAAAACATTCTCACGATGGTTCGCACGATGTTGCACGCTTTCATTCCTGCGACTCGCGAACTCATTGTACATGCGTACGTAGATGAACAAAAGTCCTCATGAGAGACATTTGTTGCCCTCGACTTTTGAGTTGAATAAGCATTGCAACTTACATGGCCCTGACTGGCCTGCACGATGTGAGTGTGGTCGTCTTCGATAGCAATGACAACGTGGTTCCTCTGATGAATGATGCTGAGCACAAAGAGGGTTGGTGGATGGAAGGTGAGGCTTTCTGGATGGTTGGGTGAGCCTCTGTACGTCCAATTCTAGAGTTGGCAGGTTGGGTGGTTGGGTACCAACCCGTCACCTCCAGTGAGCTTCTTGAATGTTGCCTCACTAGCCACACAAGCCACTTTCGACAGCGATTTCACGAAAAAAAAGACTCCTTAACCAACTATTACTTAGGATCATAATTGGGCCATCAACACTTGACAAACTTTCTCTTAGGCTACGGCCATTCGAGTCTTGCGGCTGTAAAGTGTAATGCTTCGTATTAAACTTTCACCTGAATATCTGTTATGTATACATTTCACCAGTGCGGATAGGTTTAAACACCAACTATAGCGTCGAAGCTCAACCTAGAATAGCCCCGAATAGCTTCAATTCCTGACACTGTCCAAAGCTTGATCCCTTAAACGCGTCAGTGCCGCAGTCGTCTCAGGCACATAATAGGCTATGCCTCTGAGTCTTTGGCACATAAAACACGCTTGTGGCAGATATTGTGATGTTTTATAGTTTCGATTATTTATGCCGAAGCTCCCTTACTTGTACAAGCATCTCGTTTCCTCATCCCATGGACCCCCCAGAGTTCGTGATCAGGTTCTCATTGGGAGCTCGCAGCTCGATCGGCCGCACTCTAGATCATAATAACATGTGGAACGACCTTAACCCGTGGAATCCCTAAAAAAAAAAACAAGGCACTCTTCCTGTGCCATCATACAACACCGCCTAGACCGAAATACAAAGAAGGTCCACTCGAGCAGAAGAACCTGCAACGCGGCGCTGAAGTGCTGAGTCTAATCCGATTCAGATCTCTTTGCCGAGCGACGCTTGGGTTTGACTTCATAATCTCCCTTCTAGGAAGACTCTTCCTCCTCCTGGTCGGCCTTTAGACATCGTTAGTGTGCTGCTGCTGAAATGTTGTTCTAAAATCAACTCACGTTGTAGGCCTGCTTCTCATCCTCGTATCGCTTCTTGTCAGCGGCAGCCTTGGCCTCATAAGGAGCGCGTTGCTTCTCGTTAAGAGCCTTCCATCGCTCACCGAGGAGCTTGCCGACCTGACCGAAAGAGATACCAGGGTTCTCCTCACGGACGTTCTCACGCTGCTCGTTGGCGAAGAACATGTAGGCGGAGAGGCCACGCTTGGGGGCGTTGGGGTCTAAGTCGGTCAGCTGTGTTTAGTACGTGGACGCGATGCGGCATGCAGTGTATGGCACTGCATGCGGGCATTGAAAAGCCCATGGATGAATGAAGACTTACCCTTCTTGCCGCGCTTGGTCTTCTCGGCCTTACCGCGCTTACCAGCAGCAGCCTTGGGCATCTTGAATGATTTCTGTGAACGAGTGTAAGTTGGTGGATTTATGGGTTGTGCGTGCAACAGAAAATGATTAAAAAAGAGTTGGAGGTGACTTCGCAGTGTTGAACGCAAGGTCAGTGATAATGAGGGGTAGCTCCATGAAGCTTGGAGCTGAGCTTGGTATGAGAGATGATGATAGATAAGGTGGCAAGGCGCAAACGCAATTGCGCCTCCCAACGCGTCAAAATTCGCGTCGTTGAAGAAGAAAAAGGTTTCTGGAGGGTTTGCGCGTACCTGAGAGGTGGACTTGGGGGAAAGTAATTTGTGGTGTTGATGTGGTCTGTGATGCGCTTCCGTTAGCTATCTTGTTAAGCTGTCGCGCGACAAAGTTTCAAGGTAAAGATGATGCGCAATAGACGCGATGCAGCTCAGTCTTGAGCAACGTTTCGAGAAGAATCGATAACGAAGTCTAATTAATACTCTGCCAAAAGACAGACGCAACGGCAGAAAGTGAGAAAGTGATGTTGTGGTGATGTTGTGGTGCATGATAGAGAGGATGGGATAATACTCACCACGAAGACGTGTAGAAGCGTGTTGAGTGTAGAGGCGATTTTGGGTGGGAGAATTGTATGGGAGAAAAGAGAGGGAGAGAGAATGTATGGGGAGGGCCAAGGCAGCCTTTTTACTATGGGGGAGTGATTGTGCGTGGGGAGGGAACGCGACCTGCCCAGCTACCACACTTGGACTGTTATGCAGTGGGCTGGCCTGGGTGAGCTCTTGGTGCCCCCCTTCCTTTCCCTCAAGGAAAAAAAATTGGGTGCGGTGCCCATTGCTCTCTGCAGTGCTTGAGAGCTTGCCCGCCCGCGCGCTGCACTAGTACTGTCGCAGCAGACTGTAGTCTGTACCTGTACCGCACCTGCCTTGGGCCATTTTCTGCCTCTGGGCCTGCTACTGGGGGAAATGACCAGGACTCCGTCCTCGCCCCCTCATCTAAGCTCCCCAGAAACACCTACCTCTGACCACTCACCAACGTGTAAGCAGGCGGTCATTGCCTGGTACTGTACGGGTACAAGCCATACGCAGCTCGCCGCGCCGAGGTACAGTACAAAGGTCTTGTACCGCAGCGCGACTGTAGTAATCCGCACAGTATACTTCTTCCTTTAGGAGACATTCGCAAGCCCCTCTGCCCTTGATTACGGTACCTCTTACCTTACTCTTACTCTGATCACTCCTAAAATAATCACACCCGATGGACACTTTGAATCTGCTCTGTGCCTGCCCAGTCAACGGGCTCAATCCAGCGGGTTCACCTTCTCCTGGGTGATACCTTAGTACTGTAACTTTGCCTGGGCTGCCTTCCCCTGTGTCGTGATCCTGCCTCCACCCCGCCGAGTCGTTCTTTCTTTCGGCTTTCTCTCAGTAGTCTCCGTCCATGCCGTCCACCTCCACCTCCACCCTTTGAGGCCTATGCTTCATCACACTCAATCTCGGACTTGGAGTCTCGCTCGACACGACGCTACTTACACCCTCCTCCTGCTTGGACCATTTTCTCTTCTTCGGTGATTGTTGCCAAGTGCAATTACGTACAGTAGCATATCTTTGCTACGCGCAGTGAATATCAAGCACTTTGCACAAGCATGAGAAACACAAACCACAAACGTGCTCAGCTTGCTATGGCGTGTTGTTACTTCTTCACTAATACGCCACGGTTCTTCCTCCCCTTTTGTTTTCGTCCTAGTGTTAGAGAATATGTATAAGTTGGCTTGATTGTTGATAGATCAGTTGAGCTTGAGCCTCCTTGAGAAGTTGAGGGAGACTAAGGGGGGAGTGTTCAAACCGTTCACGACTACAGCCAAAACCGTACTACATACGGCATGTCATTGTTTGATTGTCGCCAGAAAAGTGGCGCTCTCCAATCATGGCACAATAGACCGATGTTTGAAGGCGGGAGGTTGGTTGATACATTGCAAAATGCATTGCGAACTCAAAGTTCGGCGCTGTCCTGGCGGACCCAAACTCACCTGAGTCTAGAAAGGGAGTATCGGTGTTGCACTCTGGTATTGCATGCTATTGGAGACGAAGCTGTAATGGTGGGGAATGGTTCCAGTCGACGCTCCATGAAGATTGACTGAGTACACTGTTGCAGTACCAGACCGGCCAACCGACTGTAATGGCCCGTTTCCGGGTTCGTCTCTATTATTCCCAGCTCGTA